GCCAAGCAGAACTGGGAGCCAGAGGGCAAGGAGCATATTGGGGAAATCAATCAGTCAGCCTCATGCCACACAAATGGGAGAGAAGAGTGGACGCTGCACATCTAAGGTGGAAATGGAAAATATTCTGCACCGGGTATTAGATGCTAATTGTGGAACTCTGGCTAAATTTTTTGGTGTGAAAAATGGTATTGTAGTAATGTAGGAAGAAAGAAAGAAAACATGCACATTAAAGTATTTACCAGCAAAATATGATCTATAAAAGTATTCTTTAAAATATTTCAGTTTAGGGGTGTGTGGGTGGCTCAGTCGGTTAAATGTTGGCCTTTGGCTCTGGTCATGATCCCAGAGTCCTGGGATCGAGCCCCATGGTCAGCAGGGAGTCTGCTTCTTCCTCTCCCTCTGCCCCTCCCCCATTCATGTTCTTTCTCAAATAAATAACTAAAATAAAAAAATAAAAAAAATTCAGCTTATTAAAAAAGTGGGAGAGAGAGACAAAACAAGATTGGCAAAATGGCACCGATTGCTGAAACAGGCTGTACATTAATACTCACTGTTATTGTCTCAGTCTGCAGAATTTTCCATGATAAATATTACATTGAAAATTTTAAAATAAGGTTTCCCAGGCAATGTAGGAAAAATCTGTGCTTCAGTGGAAAACTATGCACTGTGTGGACTCTAGATGGCACCCTCTGGATTATTGGATTCTGATTTTATCCGAATCCAACTTTATATGTCACAACTTTATAAATTGTACATAACTGATAGCAGTGACAAGTATCTCTTGTCTAAGAACATGTAAATTCTGTCCCACCTGGTAGAGTTTCAAATGGCCTCCCTCCCTCACTGTGAAAGCCGTTAGTCTTGCCCCTGTTTGCACATTCATTTCAACATTTTTTATTCCGTATGAATGTATGCTGTTTTGATGTCTCCTTTGAACCTGTTACAACATCTCCTTGGTTCCCTGCTCACAAGTTAAATAAAAGTTCTAACACATGTTCACTTTTATGTCTGCTGGAGTCATAATTTTACCCCTTTTTGAAAGTTATCTCTTAGCAGTGTAGTATTCATGTCTTTCTTGTGAAGCTGAAAGTAAAATAAACGAATTGGTATATTTATGAATGATTGTGTGTTAATGAATAATTAATTGTAAAATAATTTCAGAGTAAATTGTAAGCTAGTTGTACAAATGTTAACAAACTTTTCCTCCATAATTTTGTTTCTCATACCATTAATTCCAAAAACCCCCTTGGAATCTTTGTACCAGGGGCCTAGATGGATTCTCAGTAAACATGAGAGCTCACTGAAGTGAAATATGAGCAGAGCAAGTTTGAAAACACTTCAGAACAAAAACAGTCACATCTCCTGAAAATCTGTTTAAGAAATCCAAAATTTTAATACAGACCCAAGATACATTGTTGAAAGACACAAGCCCGGGCTGCATTATTTAACCACAAATAATCAAGTTTTAGGGCAGGATCTTACCTTCTATGTCTACACCACTTCTCCAATTTCTTTTCTTTCTCTTTCCCTTAACTTTGCCATCTTTTCTTCAACGGAACTAACTGCAGACACTGGAATTTCTCCACATTTTGTTACAGATATCCACTGCTACCAATTGTCACCTCTTGAATATTTAGGAGCCATTTCTCTTGGTCATCTAGGCTCCATGTTGATTCCATTTCTGCCGAGTTTAATGGCAATCAATCGGTCACTGTTCTTTTGGTGTTTGTCTTATAAGAGTTTCACAAATGCAGAAATAACACATTTGAATGCCATGCCCACACATGGCACACTTCCAAAAACGGATACTACAGCTATGTCCATGATCTCTTGCTAAACTTTCTGCCCACTCTCAAAAAAGCAGATGCTGATTTCTAAGAATAAGTAGAAAAACGTGTCGAAAAAATTTTGGAGAAGAACCTGTTGTATATACGCTCTTAATTCGCTTTTAAACACTTTAGACTACTAGAGAAGACTGGCTTCCCTTGTATTTCTATTATCCAGAGCTCTGAGTAAAGCTTTGCATGATCCACCCCTTCCTCACCTCTTCCGGGTGTTCATTCAAACATCCCATTGAGGTGCTATCCCCCTTCATCGCTTTGTTTCCCCATAGCAATGATCACCATCTCTCACGCCATATTTTATCACTTTTTTTTAAGTCTTGTTTATTGCCTGTCTCCCTCCACAAGAATGAAAAGTCCCTGAAGGCCGCCCGCCCGTGTCCGCCAGTGGCGCCGCGGCCCCGAGTAGCCCTTGAGGGGTCCGGGCTGCGGCCCGCTCGTGTGGGAGCCGTCGCTGCTGCTGTCCTCCCGCCCGCCGGTCCGTTCTCCCTCCCGGCCGCCCTCATGCTGGCGCTCCTCTCCCGCCTGCTGGACTGGTTTCGCTCGCTCTTCTGGAAGGAGGAGATGGAGCAGACGCTGGTGGGGCTGCAGTCCTCGGGCAAGACCACCTTCGTCAATGTCATCGCGTCAGGTCAATTCAGTGAAGAGATGATACCCACGGTGGGCTTCAACGAGAGGAAAGTAACTAAAGGTAATGTTACAATAAAGATTTGGGACATAGGAGGACAACCCCGGTTCCGGAGCATGTGGGAGTGGTACTGCAGAGGAGTCAATGCCATTGTTTACATGATAGATGCTGCCGATCGTGAAAAGATAGAAGCCTCTCGAAATTGAACTACATAATCTTCTAGATAAACCACAGTTACAAGGAATTCCAGTGCTCATACTTGGAAACAAGAGAGATCTTCCTAATGCCTTGGATGAGAAACAGCTAATTGAAAAAATGAACCTGCCTGCTATTCAGGATAGAGAAATTTGCTGCTATTCAATTTCTTGCAAAGAAAAGGGTAATATAGATATCACATTCCAGTGGTTTATTCAACATTCAAAATCTAGAAGAAGCTGAAGCATCTCCTGAGGTCTTCCAGTCCTTCCTGGCTATAATCCTAGAATTATTGTCCGTTCCTCTGAAGTACTTCCCAGAATACGGTCCTTCCTCAACCCAAGAAATTGCCTTTTTCAGAGTTTATTTCTCTTGTGCACTGCTGAAGATGTGTATCCCTAATCCTTCATAAAGAATCAGGTAGAGTTGTCATGATAAAGTCAGCACACACAAAAAAAGCTGCTTATACATACTTGTCTTAAACAGTGTGTAGAGCTTTTTTTTTTTTTAAACACACACTTGACCATCTTAAATCAAGAAAATTGCATGTTTCTGTTCTAGTCTTTCTGGGCCAGATTTTTATATTGGTTTTCAGTAAATGTCTAGATATTTCCTTATAGAGTCCATTAGCTTAATACTGATACTGACTTGATACAGCATGAAGTTTCTAGTGCCACACACAGTATTTAGAAAACCTTTAGCCTGACTCATGTGGGATATAAACATAATGTTTGCATATCTCACAAATGCATGTGAAATGTATAATTACACCGTAGGAATTTAAAAAATGGCCTGCAAAGAGTGAGCAGAGGCACCAGATCAGTGTTGTTATTGGTTCTTTATACTGGTGAGATCATATATGAATTCTAAAATACTGCTTTCTGAGAATTCTTCATCACCAGATAGCAGCTGGGGATATGGGAGGAACTAAGGCATGCTGTTGTGTATCTGTCCAGATCATTACTTCTCCATTTTTTTCTTTTTTTTTTTGGAGAGGGTGGGGTTCAACACACTTTTTTAAAGCGTTGGGAATTGAAGATTTTCTTAAAGGCTTTCATGAATTTAGAGCATTCCAGCCAATATAATAAAATGTGTTAAGAATGTCAAAAAAAAAGTCCCTGAAGACAGGTGTTTCTGTTTTGTTCACAGGTGTACCCTCTGCACCTTGAACAACGTCTGGAAACAGTAGCAATTCAGTAACTATTCTTTTAATGAAGGAAATGCCAGTCCTTCTCACCACTCTCTCTTAAAGGCAAAGATTTGGCTTTATTTTTTTGTGCAATTCTAGCATTTACCTGGCACATGGTATATATTCAGTAAGAATTAGTCCCATGGATTCCCCTGGAGGACTCAGGTCAGTTCTAGGATAGCTGCAATGGGTACAGATCAAGAAAAGCCCAATTCAGCACCCGTTCTGGTTTCCACATCATTTCCCTGATTCATCATTACCTGGGATGACTTAGATGAGGTCATCCATCTTTAGACTGTCCATTGAAAGACTAGACACGGTGGTGCAGGGTAATGGAGGAAGTAAATGGTGTTTATGACTTTTTTTTGGCACTTGCTAGACATTCATTTGTATGTGTCACTAACAGGGTAAAATGTCAAGAACCGAGAAGACTGCCTGGATTTGGTGCAAGGGGCTGAGAGTATTGAGTTTTTAATGTGGCATTATGGCATGTGTATTTTAGAAACCACTGTGATAATACAGTTTGGGGTGGGAAGTCAGCTTGGAGCTTTAATAAGAGTAAGGAGGAAGCCTTAATAATGAGTCCGCCACAGTACCATTAAATGGTTGTCCTAAGGCTCCTTCCAGGTCCAAGATGAAAAAGGAGAGAAGGAAGGAAGGAAGGAAGGAAGGGAGGGAGGAAGGGGAGGGAGGGAGAGACGTGAGAAGGAAGGAAAAGCAAGGAGAGAAGGAGGGAGGAAGGGAGAGAGGAAAGGCGGCAGGGAAGGGAGAAAAAGACGGAAAAATTTGTTCTAGCAGTGTGTGTGTGTGTGTGTGTGTGTGTGTGTGTGAAAAACGCCCCAACTAATCGCTACCAGTGTAGGCAAACTTTCTGAGGTCTTCCCTTTGGCGGTGAACACCACGACTTCCCTCACCGAAGAAAGAGGCTCGGGTTACCACCCCGGATTTCCAGGAGGAATTGCACCGTGGACACACCACGTGGTTCCAAGCGCTGGCCCACCCACTCGCGGGGACTAGAGGCCCGTCGCGGCCCGGCCGGGCGGGAGGGTGGGTGTGCGCTGGGCAGCCGCCACCGGAGGAGGGGCCGGAGGGTGGCGCGGAGCCCGCGCTTTTCCCCGCCGCCTCGATGAAGGCGGCGGAAAGCGCGGGTCGGGCATGGCAGAGATGCGGCCGGGGCCGGCGGCGGGTCTGCAGCTCAGCGCGCTGCCCGACCACTCCCCGCTGCTGCAGCCCAGCCTGGCCGAGCTGCGGCGCCGGGCCCGGGCAGCGGGCGCTCCGCCGACGCCTCTGCCACTCACCGACTCCTTCCTGCTGCGGTTCCTGCGCGCCCGGGATTTCGACCTCGACCTGGCCTGGCGGGTAAGCACGCTTCCCCGCTGCGTTCCCCCGCGCGGGCAGGGCCGGGGACCAGCGGCATGGCCAGACCTCTGTGAAATCCCTAGTTGCCTGCCGAGCCTTGGTGGCTACGCGCCCTTCTAACAAACCGGGCGGCGGGCGTGGTGGCTGCAGGTGTTCTGAGAACTCCCGCGCGGGTCCTTCCAGTTTCTCTGAGTCAAGAAAACAGGAAACCTAGAAAAAGCTGGAGCGCTCTGGGGTGATGGCGCGTTTGACCCCAAACACTGGAACTGTGCTCTAGATGAGATAGGGATGTCTTTCCTGTCCCTGGCCCGAAGCCAGCGATATAAAACAGTAACAGCTTTGAAGTAGGGAACCTAGATTTATCACATTTTAGCAGATCACTCCACCTGTGGTGGGGAAAATGAAGTTGCCAGTAAAATTGAAGGTCTGAAGCCAAATTCTAGCAAAATAGCGCCATTATTAATAATAATACTTAAGTGTCAGGACAGTAAAGCGGTTTAGTATATTTTTAGTGGAAAGGTGTGGGATGAGGTGGTTCTTTTGTGTTTCCAGGTATGTTACAGATGGTTGAAGAAGGGGTGATAGGAAGACAGGAACCAAAAAAGAGGGATGTAACCTTGAGTTCTGTCACTTTGGGCTCAGCATCCTTTTCTATTAAATAATGGTGAGAAAGCCTACCTCACTGATTTCGAGGATTGAACATTAACCAATTTAGCAGAACAACACGTACCCAGCACAGAGCCTGACAATATAGTAAGCACGCAGCAATTGAATCTGATCTAGCCCTTCTGCCAAGTGGCTTACTCGGTGTCATATTGGGAGGTGGGAGACAGGGGAAGTATACTAGTGCAGAATCATAACATGACCCAGTATGAGTTTTGTTGTTGTTGTTAACTGATTTTTAATTGAAAAAGTAAAGAGCATGGGTGATTTTTTGTTTATGAACAGTAAAGAGTGCAAAGTAAGTTTCTAAAAGTAACTTTATAAAGGAAAAAAGTTCCCCACCCCAAACCTTCATTTTGCTGGTCCTCTACCCAGAATCAGTTACTGTTACCTGTTTATCTTTCTAGATACAGTCTGTGCTCACACAAGCATATGTATGTGTTTTACATTTGGCCTTGTTTGTTTGGGTTTTGTTTTTGTTTTTTGTTTTTACCTAATTTATCATAGAGATCAGCCTAGTTCAGTATGTGTGCATAAATCTTATTCTTTTGGGGGGCTGTGTATTATTCCATTGTATGGATTTATTATATCTAAATTTATTAAGCAGTCCCGGTTATTAGGTAGAGGAGTTATCCTCAGCCAATGGCAATGCCAACACATGCTGTTCTTTCCTTCATTCAATGATTATTTTTTGAACTCTTACAATTTGCCTGGCTGTACACAAAATGCAGTAAACAAGACAAATGGGGTTTCTTCTATCACCAACTGGTTATTGTAGTATCTCTTTATACACTGGTCTTTGTGCAAAAATAGGAATATATCCTTATAAGTTCAACCTGTAAAGTTCCTGGATGAAGTGAGGTATGCATTTTCAGGGTTGATGAATGTAAGTGTCCTTCAAAGCGTTTGCACTAATTTTATCACTTTTATATTACAAAATGGCGCCCTTTTCTCCATATTATCACCTACACTGTTTTGTCAAACATTATGATCTGTGTCAACCTGCTTGGTGAGAAATTGGTTCTCATTATAATATGCATTTGTTTAATTATAAGTGAGGTTAATCATCTTTCATATATTTAAAATTTTTAGATTATTTTCCAGTTAGCTGTTTTTAGTTTGTTAATTTTCTTCCATTTTGTTCACATAAAATATACATATACATTTTTTATTCATAAAATATCTTTATGTATTAAAGAAAATAAGCCTTTGCCCTAGTCTGTTGTCTTTTGACATTGCTTGTACTATTTTTCTTTTCTGTGCAGAGTTTAAACATTTTTATGTAATCACATGTATCGATTAGATTGTTCTTTGATTGTTTCTGGGTTTTATAAGCTCTTCTCCTCTCCAAAATTTTCTCTGGTAATTTATGATGTCTCTTTTTAATGTTGGAGTTGCTAACCTACTGGGATTTATTTTGATGTTAGGAATGAAATAAGAATCTGACTTTATTTTTGTTTTGTCAGATGGCTACTCAGGTATCCCAACATCATGGGTAATAAACTAATACTTACTCAGCAACTACTAAATATAAAGACAGTCTTAGGTCCTATGAGGAGTGCAGTTTAAATGAAACATTAAACATATAAATGTGTAGAGATCTCTAATAATAAAAAAGTGTGTGATTTACTGATTTCATTTTAGCTGCTTTTCAAAAGTAATGTCTAAACACGAGAAGGAATAAAAGTTACCCCAGCAGCTGTTATATATATTGTTTTCTGTATTCTTTATTTTCCTGAATTGTTTTCATTTCACCATGTCCTTGAGGAATTGGTTAGCAAGACTGTCTAAATCCACTGGATAGGGATCAAGTTTCTGTCTGTGAACTCTTTGCCTTACTTTTCTGCCAACTGGAAAGGAAAGGGAAAGGCTTAGAGTGTGAAACTATTTTTTTTTTCAATTTCCTCCATAAAGGCAGCTAATTTAACTCAAACTCCCTTATTTATAATATAAAAGCCCTATAGTTTTAGTATATGAAGAAAGCTTGATAAGCCCCTCAGTTACAATGAAATTTCTCATTATTCTAGTTTTTGTATTTGAAGATATAATGAATTAATGAGGTTTTTATGATTCTAAAAGTTTATAGAGTACCAAGTATTTGGGTAAATAGTGTTTGTGTGGATCATCTCATTATTTTCTCATTTTAGAAGAAACTGAGATGCAGTTTCTAGTCCAAAATCAGGTATTAAGTGGTAGAGGAGGGATTTGAACTTGGGTTGAACTCTACAGAGCCTATGCTCACAAGTATACGGCACTTGCCCCTTCTGTTCAAAACAATGAACATAAAACGGCCAACTGTTAACCTCTGTTTGTCCTACATGTTCTTGTGAGTTCCTGTCTTTTATAAGTGACTAGTTCAGTTCCCTATGTTTTTGTTCTATGTGGTAAGTTTTTTTTTCCTTTAAGTATTTTTACGGTTTCCCCAAAGTCTTTGAAGCTTTCAAAAATCCATTGACTCTTCCTGTAGCTTCTTTTGTAGAATTTGTCATATCACATGTCAGTTTCAGTGACTCTGCTCCTGATAGTTACTGCCCTTAAACAAATGTGTAACTTCTCTGAGCTTTGGTATTCTTATCCATAACGTGGGATAATAGTAGTTACCTCTCAGGATGGTTGTGAAAAGGAATTGAAAGGATGCCATTAAACCCTGTAAACGCACCACCACTACAGCTGTTATTTTGTTTGAAAGCACATGAAAAATATAAGACGAGACTGACTCTATTACAAAGCATAGTTAAAATAAACCCTAACTTTTTACATTTATTTATTCCTAACTGGGGCAAAAACAGGTGCCTTCCAGTAATGAGTTCACCTGCTGCCAGTTTTTTTGTTGTTGTGGACTTCTGATGATTTGTTTGAGAATTGCTAGGTAGCGGTTGTGTTATTTACATAACTTATTTATGTCAGCCGAGTTTTGAATTTATTTGTCAGAGGAAAAGTAATGCTCAAAGACCCAGGTTTAGATATTTCAATTTGCAAAAGTTAAATGTCAAAGGCAGGAGAGTGATTTGCGCACCTTTACGAAAAAGTCAGCTTTTCAAGTATGTGAATTCGGCTGGTTTATTCATGCATTAATTTATTCTTTCATTCAACACTTGTACCTATCTCCTGGGTGCCCAGCATTCTGCAGAGATGAATAAGCTGAGGACCCTGCCTGTTACCTAAAAGATCCCTTTTAATGAAGCTACAACTTCTATGATTTCATGGGAAATTAAAATCGTTATTTTTATATAGGAGCAAATATGCTCCTTCTAGCGTTTTGCTTGAATCAGAAGTAAAAGGACTATTTTTGTATCTGAGGGAGCTATCAAAGTAATGAGCACTGTAACATTCTTTTAACACTTATTCTGATGGCCTCTAAGACAGGAGGAGGAAGAGAAACTCAGAGTAGAATGAATATATCAGAATCTACAATGTACCTTCTGTTCTTTCTGCTTTTGGAAATTGCTATTTAGGTCACCAATTATTTCTTTGTTGGCTAATTTAGGGACTTTTTTCTTTTCTACCTTGCAGTTTTATTCAGCCCGTGGCAACATTCTCTTTTTTAGAAGAGTTCAGAAAAGCTTATTAAATGAAGAAATGAGAGGGAGAAAGACAGAGATAGAGAAAGTTAGAAAGACAACATCAGGGAGAGAGAGAGAGAGGAGAGGGGGGCAGGAGACATACATAACTTTTTCCTCCCTTCTGTGCACCATGGTGTTGAGGCTCCTCCAGTCCAGCCAGCTTTTCTCTTTCTCCAGCCTTTGCCAGCCATTAACGTTGCCCCAGGTTAGGAATTTCACCCTCTACTTGGCTTTTAAATTTCTATTTGTACTTTCTCCTCCAGGTCATTACTACTTTGTGATCACACCTGTCATGTTTATTCCAATGACTCTCAAATATGAAATTCGTCCCTTCCTTTCATCTAAACTTCCATTCCCCACCTCTTTAAACTCAAAACAGACTTATTGTTGGGGTGCCCGGGTGGTGCAGATGGTTAAGCCTCCGACACTTGGTTTCAGCTCAGGTCTTGATCTCATGGTTGTGAGATCGAGCCTTCCCTCAGGCTCCGCGCTCAGCATGGAGTTTGCTTGAGATTCTCCTTCCTTCTCCCTCTGCCCCTCCCTCTTGTGCTCTCTCTCTCTCAAAATAAATCTTTAAAACAAAACAAAAAAACCCCAAACATATTGTCATTTTACAAAAATTGAGAATGCTAAACATCGTGAAGAGGAAAATTAAACCATAATAAACTTTAAATGCATTGATTTTAGTATTCTCCACAATATACTGGCAATATCCGTATTTCTTGTAAATGCAGAGTAACCATTATTGGCGGTTCTTTTAAAAGGAAAAGAAAACGGGATTCCTGCAGACCATACTTTACCAAGACCTACTATCTGGGCTTACTGTTCTGCTCGGAATACATACCACTATTAACAAAGTTGATTTTTGTTGTTTTTCTATTAGTAGAAAGTATAGCAATGGTATAGAGATGTTTTTTTATATCTTTGATTTAGCTCTTTTTTTTTAGTAAAGAAAATGAAACCAAAATATTCTAGTTATCTTTAACATAAACCTGCACTAAGATACTCAGATGAGCAATAAATCCAAATAACTTTCCTATTACAACAATAGCGGGGTAACTACCACTCATTATGTCCATGTATGCTTTACGCTTAATCCTGCAAGCAGATATGGAGGAAACAAGACACAAAGGAGTTAAATAACTACCCAAGATCACACAGGTGATATATGGTAGAGTCAAGGTTTTTCTGACGAAGCAGCCTGGGAATTTAACTTTTCACTATGTAGCATGGCATGTATGATCCAGTTGTCACCAGCGGGTCAGCCCCAATGAGCCCCAATAAAATGCCCCACAGGCATTTTATTCTGTTCACGGCTATAACTCAAGTGCCTATCCAGTGTGTAGAACATTGTAGATGCTCCAAAAATATTTGTAGACCTACTTCATTTGATTTCTATTTTTCCTTATTTCAGAATGGACTAACAGTGGATGTTTCAGTTATCTATTGCTGAGTAACAAGTCACCCCCAAATTTAGTGGCTTAAACCACAACTATTTATTTGTCTGTGATTCTCTCAGTTGGGCAGGGCTGAGTGGGGATGACTCATCTGTGATCCACATTGCATCAGATGGGAACTTGGCTGAGACCAGACCAAGATGGGCTCTGGTTGTCTAATGCCTCTTTCCACATAGACTTACTATTTAGTAATCTTATTCTGATGTGGTTTCTGGGTCCCCAAAAGCTAATGCAGAAAGTCCCAGCCTTCCTAAACTAGCACAGTGTCACTTCTGCCAAAGTAAAATGTAAGGCTGGCCCAGATTCTGGGGGGAGGAATCAACTGGATTCCACCTGTAATGGGACAAATGGCATGTGTCTACCAGGAGGGGAGGTATTATTGGTAGCTATCTTTGGAGACTACCAACCATAGGAGACAAATGAAAATTACTCAACTTGAATTTGTGATGAAGTCTTATCACCTGCGATGCTTGAAGAAGGGAACTTAAATTTTTACAATGAAAAAAAAAAAAACACTCCAGATTAAAATCCTGACATAATGGATGGTAAGAGCTGTACATAATGCCAAGGCTTTGCTTCCGTTTTTACGAGGTGCTTACCATGTATGACATCTGTAGTCAATTTTTATTTTATTTTTCAGTTACTGAAAAATTATTATAAGTGGAGAGCAGAATGTCCAGAAATAAGTGCAGATCTGTGCCCTAGACGTATTCTGGGACTTCTGAAGGCTGGTTACCTTGGAGTCCTGAGAGCCAGAGATCCCACTGGCAGCAAAGTTCTTATTTACAGAATTGGTAAGTCATATACAGCACTGCTTTTCTTTTTCTTGGCTGCCATATTGAAAGCTTTATGAGTCCATATTTAAGAATTTCGCTTTTCAGGTTTTAACTTAGGTTTAATTTAGATTGTAATGTCCCTCAAATATAATAAAACTGGCAACTGTGAGAAAATTAGAAACCAGCGAAAAGCTTGCTTCCATTCTTCCACACAGTCAGCGGTATAAAATAAGAGAGAAAGAAAGCAGAGTAGAGAAATATGGGGGGAAAGGTGAAAAAGATCAAGGTAAAGTGTTTAGAAAATGCTTAGGTAGGAAATCCAAATAAGAATTCTGAACGGTATTAACACAAGCTCCATGAGAGCATGGATTTTTTCTGTTCTGTTCACTGTATCCTAACACTGAAACCAGGACCTAGTATATGGTAGGGATGTATTAAATATTTCTGGAGTGAGTGAATGGCTAGTTGGGTAACACCCAAGGCTGAGGAGCCAGGGGCTTATTCTCTGGGACGGGGGAAGGTCCAGTGGGAAAGCGGCATCCCTGAGTAGCGTTGAAGACACTGTATTCCACATACCCCTCTTGTCATAGCTTCCCCTTTTCACCATTAGGCCTTCCTAGTATTTCCTTTAGTGTGACTGCCCCTCCCTTAGACCTGTGTGTGATTAAAAATGGCATGTAATGAAGAAGGACTCACACTGCTCCCAGCATCCTCTTGTGGCCTCTTTATAGATTTGCTTTTTCTACCTGATTATAGATAAGATACCTGCTTGTAACTCAGCTGTTTATGATCTTGTAAAGAAGGCGCTGCATGTAATTCTTTAGGGTATCAGAAGACCGAGGAGAATGATTCCAGGTGTTTGCTCTTGTTTATGTGTCAGATACAGTTGGGTCAGTCATGAAGCCACTGTCCATAAAACAGACGTCAAAATGTCTGCCCTGTCCTTTTGTTGCTCCACCAGTGTTATAGGATGATGAATGTAGTTCCCCAAGTTCTTTAGAGGTAGAGTTGCCAGAGTGACGATATTATCTATGTTTTATGTAGCAAGTAAACAGAGTGTATGAAAGTGTGGGATGTCCAGTTTGAATTTGAATTTCAGATAAACAGGATATAATTTTTTAGTATCAGTATGCTCCATACATACTAAAATTTATTTGTTTTTTTATCTGAAATTCAGCTTTAACAGGGTGTCTTATATTTTATCTGGCAATGCTACTCAAAGGTCCCAGGAACATAAAACTGAAACCTTCAGGGGGCTCTTTCTGCAAGTGTCCTGGCTCTGTACTGCCTGGCTGGCGTTTTTTCAAATTTGTTCATAAATTACCTGGGGCAAGTTAAGAAGTAAAAATGACACCTTGAGAGTGAAAAAACAAATGTGCTACTTTGATCATAAATACCTTAACACTGGGGGCATCTGGCTAGCCCAGTCAGTGGAACGTGCGACTCTTGATCTCGGGGTTGTGAGTTTGAGCCCCACGTTGGGTATAGAGATTATTTAAAAATAAAAGCTTTATGAATAAATACATACATACATACATACATACATACCTTAACACTGCATCAGTTGTCTTCTATTGCTTAGCGAGAGGGTTTCTTATGGTACATTAACATTTACGTATACTGTTTTTAAAATCAAGAAAATATGTGGGTTGTGGCGGTCCCCAGGTGGCTCAGTCGGTTAAGCGTCTGCCTTCAGCTCAGGTCATGATCCCGGGGTCCTGGGATCGAGCCCCGCATCGGGCTCCTTGCTCGGTGGGGAGCCTGCTTCTCCCTCTCCCTCTGCCTGCCGCTCGCCCTGCTTGTGCGCTCTCTCTGTCAAGTAAATAAAATCTTAAAAAGGAAAACAGAAAACATGTAAGTTAGTGATGGTCAGAACAGAAGGGCGTGCAGCAAATTTCCTGTGTGTGATATAGAGTAAGATCTTTTTCTCGGGAAAGGGAAAACTCAGAAGAGGTTCAGGAGTAAAAGGAAAGGACAGGATAAAGATTTATAAATTTCCTAAATGTAATTGAATTAATGGGAGAAACTAAAAAAGGAAATCTGTGGTAGAGGTTTTGGGTAGAACATTAGCATAACCACCTTTCCCTAGGTACCATCTCTGCAGTGAAAATGCACAGAACCTTTTTACTCCAGTCCATCAGGGCAACACAAGGTAAAACTCAGTTTTTGCCATTATTAGACTACCAGCCAGATATAATTTTATGGCTTTTGAAACTATTATACTGTTGCAACAAAAATAAAATTTAACAGTGAGTATTACGTTTTGACTATGGCTTAGTTCTTAGAGTTAAAGTTCTATAGCACATTGCCCAGGTTGGAACTGCAGCTCTGCTGTGTTCTAGCTACATGGGCAGCTATGTACCTGCAACCCCATTTTGTCCTCTGTCAAACAGGCATAGTAAAAACCTATCTCACGGGGTTCCTGTGAGCATTTAATCCTGTCATACACATGAAATATAATTAGAACATTACCTGACATATAATAAGCACTCAATAAATATTAAAGAGATGCTGGAAAAGGAATGAAGAAGTTAAGGCACATTTTCCTTTTGCCTTAAAGGAGCTTAGAGTCTAGACCAGCGCTATCCAATAGAATTTTCTATGATGATGAAATTGTTCTACAGTAGCCACTAGTCACATGTGGCTATTGAGCACTTGAAATGTGGCTTTTGCTACTAAGAAATTGAATTTTTAATTTTATTTAATGTTAATCAGTTTAAATTTAAATAGCCACACATGGCTAATGGCTACCCCATTAGACAGCACAGGTCTAGACAACTATGTTGGTGAGCTCGGGAATTTAGGCCAGTAACTATTTTCTTGACTGCAGACTTTCAATCATTCTGCTTGTATTTTTCACCATTGTAGCTTTCTGCCAATGTCTGAAGTAGTATAGTATATTTGAGCTGGGTTATCCATGAATTGATTACTCAAATTCTTAGCAGGCAGCTGAGGCTCTTAAAAAGCAAAGGGCAATCCCATTATGCCTTTCTGGAAATACTTCTGATTGTCTCTTTTCTATCTTTGATTTTTTCCTTGCTAGTAGACACTCCCTATCAACATTTAAATCTATTAAGGGTCAGCCATCCAAAACAAAACAAAAACTCCTTCTCAATCCCACAAGATCCTCTAGCCTCCACCCCAGCCATGTCCCTACTCCTCATTCTCAGCCAAACATCTCAAATTAGTGATGTTCGCCATCCATATTTTCACACAGTTTTTCACAATTCCTCTCAATCCACCCTGGCCTGGTTTCACTTCCACCTCTGTGCTGAAATGACCTTAACAAATCATCAGTGACCTTCTTTTCACCAAATCTAATGGACATGTTAAGTTCTGTTTTACTTGATCTCTCAACATAGCAAACCACTTGCTCTTTCTTGAGATATCCTCTTCTCTTGGCTTTTCTAATGCCACATTCTCCTGATATTTTCCTGACTTAAACTGGCTGCCCCTTCTGAGTCTCCTTTGCTGGCACCACCTGTTCTACCACCTTTTTAATTCTGAAATTCTTTAGTACATTGGCCTTAGCTTCCTCTTCTTATGCTACTTTCTGTATAGACCTAAAATAATCCCTGTTGCAGGCTGTCATGCAAGTTACAAACAACTCTCAGATTTCTGTCTTCACCCCACCATCTCCTGTCCCCAGGGATCTGTACGAACAGCTCCCTATTCCAACTTTCTCCAGTTGGATGTCTCTCATTCACCATATTTACGTGTCCAAAACTACTTGTGATTTTTTCCTCCCAAAACATTTCTCTTTCCCTGTTTCCTATCTCAATAAATGGTACCACCATTCTACCCAGTTGTCCAAGCCAGAAACTTTGGTATTTTGAAACTTTACCATTACTTAATCATGAATCTTTTTTTCCCCCTTTCTCATTTGTCTCCTTAGGCACTCCTTGGAACCTTCAGTATGAAGACTTGCATTTTTTTTCAGCTTTGGAACATTTTTCTCTACTGTTATTCCTCTTTCCCCTCTTCCCTATTCTCTGCATTATTTCCTTCCAGAACTCTAATTAGTTGAATGTCAGAACTCTGGATCTAGCTACATGTCTCTAGCTGCATGAGTCTTTTGATGCATACATACCAACTGTTGGCTCTTTTCAGAGAATTCCTCAGCTTGGTATTCCAAACCATTATGCACTCATTGGCTGTGTCTTTTCTGCTATTTGTCCCATCAACTGAGATTTGCTTGAATTATCATCTTTTTATTTCCAGATCTCAACTGATTCTTTTAAATAATAACCTGTTCTTATAATAATAGCCTACATTACCCTTTTATTCCCTCACTGAAACTATTTTGCTTCTTTTTAATGTCTCTTGCTTTATTAACTGTTTCTTTAGGTTTTAATGCCTTTGTCTATTGAGTGTGGTTCCCCTCTTCTTTGTGTGTATTTTTAAAAATGTTATAATACTTAGTGAATGTGTTACCTTCTTTTAAGATCACCTGTTTGCCTGTCCATTACTGTCATTTCTGCTTGCCCTGGCCTGCCCAGGGATGGTGGGGAAGGGGAGAGGACAGGAATGTCAGTAATGCTTTGTTGTTTCCCCTGGGTGTAGGCAGCTACCGGAGTGCTTCCCTGGCTCTTTTCCAAAGCCTACACTTAAACTGTTCTGGCCTGTGCAGACATGACAGCTATGTGCTTTTGCCACCAAGGGGTGTCTGATACATCAGCCTGCCAGTCTGCTCTTCATCCATTTCTCTTAGCAACCTCCTTGGTTTCTATAGGGACCTTAGTTACTCTTTATAATCCTTTATCACCCCAAAGCCTTTGCTTTTCCCATTTCCAACACTTCCGAGCTGGGAGCATACCTGGGGACATTTTCCTCTTTAGCCACAACCCCCTCCTGAATGTTTTGGGCTATAGCTTCATCTGGCAATCAAATCCAGCCTGCATTCATTCTCTTCTCCCCCATGCCCTTAAAAATCTGTTCTTCCCTAAGGATTTGAGGATGGAGGAAATAGCAGGAATGTGTTTTTGGACTACCAAATTGATCCATTATTCAGTTCACGCTCTTTGTACATGTTTTTATTTCTACTGATGTTTTAAGTCTCAAAAGAATTAGTTTCCCTTTGTAAATCTTCCTGAATCTTTACACTATGCTGAGATATGCTATTTTTAAAATTTTTTTTAGCACAATGGGACCCAAAAGTTTTCACAGCTTATGATGTTTTTCGCGTAAGTCTAATCACATCCGAGCTTATTGTACAGGAGGTAGAAACACAACGGAATGGTATCAAGGCTATCTTTGATCTAGAAGGCTGGCAGTTTTCTCATGCTTTTCAAATCACCCCATCTGTAGCCAAGAAGATTGCTGCTGTTCTTACAGTAAGTGTATATTTTAACTCTTTGGGATACTAATTCCAAATAATAGATTTCAATTTAGTTATATGTTCAACAAAGCAAGAGGATAGTACATTTATTAGAAAATAAATAATTTTAAAATGACACATAGAATTCAATAATGCTAAGAGGAAATAAAGTGCTATTAATTCATAAAAGAAAGAATGTTGCAAGAAACTGAAAGCAGGTTCAAAATTAGTAACTACAGAATTTATACATTTAAATAATAATGTGGTAACTTTCTGTTTCTGTTATTAAAATTTTCTTCCTAAATTAAAAAATTGACTCAAAACAATATTTATAGCAATGGTACAATAAAATGTTATATTCTTGGTAGGTATAAATTGATACAATTCTTTCAGAAATTAAAAGGTTTTTAAGATGGCCATCATCTTTGATCCAGTAATTCTACTTTCGGGGACCTAGCCAACGAATAATCTGAAATACAGTAAAGACTTCATATATAATAACAATAGTAGCTTATTATATGCCAAGTACTTTGCTAAATGTCTCAAGTGCATTACCCTTTAATGACCAAACAAGCCTATAGCTATTATTTTTCCCATTTTACAGATTAATTAGCTATGTCAGAGGGGTGATATAGCAATGCCCAAGTACACACATTTTGTCAGCCGTGAAGCAAGAATTCCAGTTCAGGTCATCTGACTGTAGGAGTTGTGTTTATAACCACCATTGCCTCCGATAAATAAAGATAGTTACTATAGAATCAATTTTTATAGATGAAAATTAGAAACAGTTTATTTTTCCAGAAATAGGAAAATTATGGTATATCCATTTGATAGATTATCACAACAATATTGAAACTCATGATATGTGTAAAAATTGTATTATGTCAATGAAACAAAACAAGGTGCAAATTATTTAGACAGCATATTGGCAATTATGTTTAAAATAAAATTATTCATAGAAAGAACCTGAAAGGAAAAGCTCCAAATTGATAACACATCTGTAAAAGCTATGCATAGGTAAAAAAAAAAAATAGAATTTTGCATGAAAGAAATTTGGCAGGAGCAGTCTGTATGTTAACATATTTTGTATAGGAAAACTATTGATGAAATGTTTTTTGTTTTAATTCTTAATGTTTTAAGCTTTCTAAATAAACCTATATTACTTTGATGTGAAAGGCCTATACCTGTGCCAAGTTTAAAAGTGTGTGTTTACTATTCCTTCAGCTTCTTATGAGATTTTAATTTTTTTCTCAAAATAAAAATTAGGGGAACATGGTTAAATATAAACATCCAAATGACTCACTGGTTCATTGAAAGAACATTTATTTATATGTGATTGGAAAGGATATTTTCTGTGTCTTACTTACAAAAGATGCAGGTCTTTCTTAAAATACTTTGCCTAAGCTATAAGGTGAAAGCTTTTTCAGAGATCTTTCCTTAATCTAGTGACTGTGAACTGCAGAGCAGGATATTGTGTTGATGGAATAAATAATTCTGAAAATAAAATCCCACTTTAGGTACTGCACTAAGTAAAGCAAGTGTTCAGAGAAGGGACTGGTCAATAGGAATATATATTGATTTATGCTTTGTTATTAATAATTTTTTTCTTTATTTTCAAAAGGATTCCTTTCCATTAAAAGTTCGTGGTATCCATTTGATAAATCAGCCAATAATTTTCCATGCTGTCTTTTCCCTGATTAAACCATTCCTGACTGAAAAAATTAAGGAACGGGTAAGTAAAACGTATTCAAGTCACTATTCTTCTGTACCAAATGTTCCAAACCTTTTTATTTAAGGATTGCATTATTACCTCCCCTCCCCACAATTAACCCAATGTTTTAAGTATTTGTCTAACAAAGCATTTTTATAAATTAAAATTCCTTTTTAATTTGGAAAATCAAGTTAGGCTGTGGGGGGGAACAGCCTCTCATTCATTGAAGTGGGAGTGCAAAATGGTATATTCCCTATAGAGGGCAGTGTGGTAATAGTTATCAAAATCACAGCCTTTGCACTTCTGGGATTTTATCCCACAGATATACCAGCACATAAACAAAATTACAGATACAAAAGGATTCATTGCAGCAAAAGACTGGAAACTGCCAAGTGTTCATCATTAGGGAACTGGTTAAATAAACAGCTGTATCAACACAATGGAATACAATAAGACTTTCATGATGTAAAGTGAAATAAAAAAATGAAGAATAATTTTTATAGTATGCTACCTTTTGTATAAAAAGGGGAGAAATCAGAATCTCTAGTTGCATTTACATTAAAAGGATACAAGAAAGCAACCTAACTATATGCAATAGAGTAGAGGTGTGGATGGGGTGGATGAGGTTTGAATAGGGACCAAGGCATCTCATTGTATATCTTTTATCTTGTTTTGATTTCTAGCTATATGAATGTATTATCTGTGCAAATAAAAAATAAATGTATTTAAATTAGACATGCATAACTGAAAACCACAATACCCAAGGTATGTGACTTAATGTCATGTTAGTTAAAGCAAAGAGATTTGATGGGTTTCTTTGTTTTTGTTTTTACCTATCTTGTGGAGCCTTATCTCAGGTGAATATCTAATATCTCTTAGGATTTTTCAAGTATTAAAAATAAAATTTGAATTCCCAAGAATGGCAACCACTCTTCTACATTAATCTATAAAGGATAATTTGTAGAGGTTATCCAGTAGGAATTTCTATCTGTCTTCAAGAAGAACTACACCTATGAAGATGGCCACTTTTCATTCTAGCATTTTTAGAAAAGTCAATTTTGGGGGGCTCACTTTTGTCTCTCTTCAGTGTAGCTTGATAATATCTGACACGTTTTGTTTAACTCTGAAAGATCTAAAACTAAGTATTTCTATTTTGGGTTATATTCTGGACAAATAAAAACAAAAACAATGAACCGAACCTAATGAATAGGAGAATATGAGCAAAAAAGAAAGAAAAATTTAAAAATTGAGAAGGTAGGTGGAGCATTTCAGTGAAAGGTAATTGACATGAAACAGACTTGCCAAGGTAAGGGAGATGGGGACCCAATCAAGCCATTCTCCTCTCTTTCGACATTTTGGCAATACCTTGTGAGTGTTTTTATTTGCCCCCTTCTGGGGAAATAGTAGAATTTTTTTCAATTAGCTGATGATTATTTTAAACATTTCAAAAGAAATCAAGAATTGGGACTCTGAGGTTCCCAACTCCAGGAAACTTGTTTCATTCATTTTTCAATTCTCCTATCCTAGCATACAGTAGCTGTTTTTAAATGATCATTGAATGTATAGATGAACATTTTACCCTAGCAGATGGAAAAAGGGCACTTATTTATTTTTAGCAAGATGTGCTTTTAATTGAAGGCTCTAAGTCTTTATTTTAACTTCATGGCATTATATGATCACTTTTTATAGTTTAAAATATTTGAAAATTTAAGGTTCTCAACCATCATAATTGTCTCAATTCTGTCCTAGCCAAGAGTATTCATCAACTGTACCACATAAATTACTCCCCATATACATAGCGGTGTGCGCAGATATATGCTTCTAATTCATATGAACTAATACCAGGAAGTATATTTTTATCATCTCTAGAACAGTCTCAGGATGTTAGATATTTTGCTAAGAATCACCTGTACATTAGGGAATAGACTGTATAAAATAATTTTATTCAGAGTTTTAAAAATCTATTTCTGAAAGAGGACAGAATATCTTTCTATAAATCTTATATAGTTATACAAATACAAATACATATAAAAAACAGTAAGGTGGTTAGACTGATAAGTAGCACAATAGAAATTTAAGTATAATTCTTACAAAAGCAGAGAAATAAAGGGCATAGTATCTATACATGCTCTCCTATCTTGAAAGTCATTAGAATGCCTTGTTCTGTGGTGTTGATTTTACATTAAAAATATATCTAATCTACTGAGAGACTGAGGGCATATCTTTTAAAACATTTTGGCTATTTCAGATTCACTTGCATGGGAACAATTACAAACAAAGCTTACTTCAGCATTTCCCAGACATTCTTCCTCTGGAATATGGTGGTACAGAATTCTCCATGGAGGGCATTTGTCAGGAGTGGACAAATTTTATAATGAAGTCTGAAAATTACCTCAGCAGCATTTCACAGATCAGTCAATGAGAAGAAGTTACTTAATGTCAATGACTTCCTAATTATAAATACATGAGTGAGATCCTACGTGGTTATATGAATGAAAGAAAAAAAATCCTTTAAGCTAATTAACATTTTTCTGATTGATCTTTTAAAATGTAAAACTCTTCTGACATGAGCAACATGGATATTTGGGAAACTTCTTGACTTTTTAAATGTATTTTCTGTATCTTTCAAGTAGTTAAATGTTAGTACACCTTAAAACTATAGAAAGGATTCCTGATTTTTATACTTGAAAGTATCTCCTAAAGTAGCTATTTCTGGAAAGTTTCATTTTCAACAAGTTATCTTGACTACATTGGTTTAGTAATAAATGTATACATGGTCCACTGAAAAGAAGAATTAGCACAAATCAACTGATGATGAAAATCTATTAACACCCATTTTGGGTGGATGTCAGATTAGATTATAATTCAGATTAAAATCTGAATACAGTTTTACAGAGTTATTCTGTGGACCAGCAAGATAGTTCATCTCAGGGAAGTTCTATTTCAGCATATTTACACAATGGAAACTCTTGATTGAGGAGTCTATACACCATAAACTATTATATGTAGCATCTAGACCTTTTTATGAAATTACTCATGTTGATACAATTTATAATCAAAAATAATTTAGGAAATATTTCAGGCATAGCTGATGGTTTCTTAATATTATTTCTGCATTTTCAAATAAATCTAGAATGTAATTTTGATTTCAGTTTCTGGTTATTCTTATCATGACTACATAGAGAATTAGAAATGGAATAATATTTAATTGTCATACATGGACTCTATTTTTAATTGAACAATAACACAACTACACAAAGGAAAGGAAATGTTTACATTTTAAAAATCACTGTCAGTTATACCTGGAACTTTTCAGATTATGTATGAAATAATTGTATTTTTACTATATATCAGAATATTCTAGCCAAATTCTATAATTCACATTTACTTTAAAAAACCAGTAGTTAAAATGTGCTATTTGTATTATAGTTTATGTCAAAGAATATTTCATTTATTGACACAACGTCAGTATAACTTTCAATTTATGACAATTTTATAGTGTTTCATGATTTTTTTTATTTTATTTTAAGCTTGAAAATAAAAAAACACAGGGTGAAAAATTTGTTAAACATTTGTTCAGCTTAGTTGGGTTTCAACATTAATCATACAATAGTATCTTTGTGAAAGAATATATGAAGGGTGTTTTTCTTCATAAGAAAATTATTCTAATCAGGTGAGCTGATACTTGTGATTCTCTGTACATATGTCTGTGAAAAAATTGAGAGCACTTGTGAATGTTCTTTAGAGAACATACTTAATTTTGACTTGGCATTGGGAAGCTAACTTTACATTATAATTTTTATTAAAAAATTAGATCATGTCCTTTTCTAAAAAAAATTATAAAGTCTTCCTTACAAAATCATTTAATTCACAAAATTGTATAATCAGAAATAACAGCAGAATAAACTCATTGAAAAAGAATAAACAATAACAACAACAAAAAGCTCTGGTTTACCCAACTTTTATTCCTCTGTAAAGGAGGTTTATATCAGAGTTCTACTTCATTTACATTTGGGTACTTAAAACACTTTCTTATGACACTGTGAAGCACACGAATAAAGGGTAATATTTAAAGATGTCTTTTAAATGTGATTTACTGTTGATGTCATTAGCAGTAAATAGAATTAAAATACGTCAATCAACAGAAGTACATTTCATGATGGGACTTTGACTTTTTTTTAAATATCACTGAAGAACATTAAAAGAACAATGTGAAATGAGCAGGCAATTTTATAAGGTGGTAAGATAAATAACTATCAAATTGTCTCTATTACTTTACTGTAATTGCACCAGAAGTGCTTTTTATTTATAAGGTTAACGCTAACATGTGCTCAGTATGTTAGTGAACTGCACAATAATTTATTTGTTTTAATATTGTTCAAAAGAAAATAAAGATCTTTCACATAAACAATAGCTGTTTCTTTTTCATTTTTAAATACAATACAAATATTAGGCAATTGTTCTCAAAAATTGCTTTTCTTTACAGGTAAGTTTAAGAAAACTGGTTGTCCATTACACAAATGCTAGTTTTTCCGCTGTAAGTTTTCATTACAGGCTGCTTTTCCAGGCCACTGAGTTCAACACTATCTTCCTCTAGTGTCTTTTGCTGTGCTTAAAGGGACCACAAACTAATATCATGAAATTAAGCCATGCAGATTTACTAAGCTAAAACTTCTAAACGAAAAAAAGAGTGTGCTACTTAATCAGATCATTTAATTTTGAAACAATCTGCTGTTAGGCTAGATTGTGATTTTATATTTATATTGTATATTTTATTTTATTTATTTTTTTTAAAGATTTTATTTATTTATTCATGAGAGACAGAGGGAGAGAGAGAGAGAGGGAGAGAGAGAGAGAGAGAAGCAGAGGGAGAAGCAGGCTCCCAAGGAGCAGGGAGCCTGATGAGGGACTCGATCCCAGGACCCTGGGATCATGACCTGAGCCGAGGGCAGACGCTTAACCATCTGAGCCACCCAGGCGCCCTATTTATATTATATATTTTAATATATTTTTATATAGTATAAATATTATATATTTTTATGTAACATATACTTGTATATTTAAATATATATAATATTTATACTATATATTTTTCTTACAGAAATAACACTGAAGAACTAGAGCATGTACTGTCTTTGCCACTCATCTAAATTAAGCCTGTAGCTCACAAAACAGGTGAAACCTACAAACCAACCAAAAACTCAGTAAACTAGTAGGATGGTGTTGTCTGAAACACTCTTTACTGGCCTTAAATGTTGAACTTTGCCACACTCAGATGCTGTGGAGGAACTGTGATTTACACTGGTGGAACTAGAAATGGGGGTAATGAAATTAGGATTGGCAGCAGTACATCTCCTCTGATTTTCTTGCTAGCAAGGACATGTGTCGTCCTCCTCCTGCCCCCACAGCTAGTACTTGCTTGACTGCTCTCTTTTCTACACAAGTCAATCATATTAATCCATAAAATGTCTACTTTTTTTTAAAGATTTTATTTGTTTATTTGTCAGAGAGAGAGAGAGAGAGAGAGCGCGCACAAGCAAGGGGAGCGGCAGGCAGTGGGTGAAGCTGGCTCCCCGCTGAGCAAGAAGCCTGATATGGACTCAATCCCAGGACCCTGGGATCATGACCTGAGCCGAAGGTAGATGCTTAACCGACTGAGCCACCCAGGCGCCCCAAATGTCTACTTTTGATAACACCATACACTGAATTAAATGCTACGGTGAATAGAAAAATTAACTAGATGCTACCTAGAAGAGAGAAAATATGTACCTAAAATAGCCGGGTAAAGTGCAGTATAGTGTAAGGGTCATTAGAATGGTTCCAATAGAATGCTTTGGAAGGAAAGATAATTTCCACGTGGGGTAACTGAGGATGTGTTCTTAGACGAGGTACAATTTGAAGCAGAGCCTTTAAGGTGAATTGACTGCCCTGGAGAAAAATGAGAACTGAGGAGAAGAAGGATATTCCAAGAAAAGAAATAGCATGAGCAAAGACAGAGATGAGAATGAATAGGCCATGTCTGAGAAATAGTGAAGAGCCCTATTATTTTTGGAGGGAGGGAATGGGTACAGGAGAGTAAGACTTCCCCTAGAATGATGCACATGAAACACACGTGGGAGGCTTTGAACATCTGCTGAAGTGCACTCAAATGTATGGATTACTTATTTTGTGCCAGACAAAACTTTAGATTCACATACATTGTGTCATTCAATTTCTGCTGAAAAAAAGGTAAGTTGGCATTGTGCCCACTTTTACAGAAGAGAACTGAACTTTGACCGTGTCTGTTCCTGGCTCAGAGTCACAGAGCTAGTGAATGCCAGCATCACACTGAACTTGGCTGACCTGGCTATAAAGTCCACACCCTCCACAACACCACCATGCTCTTTTCAGACCCAGTTCCACAGGCCACCAGATTCTACCAATCCTACTTGGAAATGTCTGACCCCAACCCATTTCTAAGATTAATCATCTCTCATCAGACCTGCTATAATAACCTCCACATTAGACTACCAGTGTCTCATTATTCTTGCCCTTACATACCCTTTCCATGGCTGCCAGAGTTCCCTTTCTGCAAGATTTTATCCCCTGAACTTTGAGAGAGCAGCAGTGCATGTGTGGTAAACTGCTAATTGGCATCCAAGGCCCTTTACAACCAGGCCCAACCTGTTCTTCCATCCTAACATTGCAGGACTCTGAACCCCACCTATAGTCTAGGCACTCAACCTTTTCACCACTTTGAAAACTATCACCCACTCCACACAAGACATTTCAGAATCAGTAGCAAGGGAGGGGGTGCGGGGAGGGAGGAAGGGAAAATGCTGTTATTGTGTCCTCTGAACCTTTGCTCTTATTGTTTTCTCAGCTCCATGCCCTTTCCTGCTTTCTCTGTCTGCTCATCTGCAGAGTGCTGCTCACTTGTCACATCTGGGAAAACTCTAAACCTCCAGAGAATTCTTTGCTCCTACTTGTGGATCCTCTGTATGGAGGTCTCAAACAATCCTTATGACACTGAATTTATAGCTGTTTACCTGCCTGTCTCCCTGCTGAAAGTGCTCTTAAATGCAGACAGTCTTTTTCCCCTTTGTATAATCAGTATCTAACCAGCGTCTAGCACAGGGTCAATACTCACAGGATGCAGACTTTACTGAGGCCTAGTTCTCATTGCAAGGGTGGGTGACAGCCACCAGGGGAATAGTCACAAGTGGGATGAAGGTCTGCCTTGTGCTAAATGGAATATTGTCTACTGGGAAGTTGAGCTGTCCTCTGCAGCCTCCTTACAAACCCTAAGACTTAACCTCCTCTCTCTATTTTTTTTCTCTCTCTCATCCTAACTGTTGGCTGTGTTACAGTGATAAGGTCCTACCCTATTGGGCTTTATTTCTGTCTCAGATTTCAATCCATTTCTCTGTTTTAAGTATTTTAAGTAATTGGCTTTAATTTTTTAGTTGATTTTAAACTTCACTTCTTTTAATTCTACACCTACACACATACATAGTACTAGGCTGGCCCCTATGGAGCTGCTGCAGAGACTCATTAACCACAGTTGAATAAACAAACCCCTGTGGCAATTTGGCTCTCATCAGGAGCTCCCTCTCCAGTCCACAAGAACTCTTCTGACAGGTTACCCACAGCAGAGTTTTACTGTGCACTATACTCCTCTTTCTTAGAGTACCGTACACTTGGGGTGATATGAAGATCTGGGATGAGGAATGGTCAGGCACAGCCCCACGCTGTACTCCATCTTCTTTCCCCCACTGCTCAGTCTCATCCACTCATGACTCAGGTGAACCCCTTTTGAGGAACTTCAGTCCATCCTCTGAGGGTATCTGAGCCTCATTACCCGAATTCAGTATGCAGATGACCTCTGCTTAATGATGGTTGTCAATGCCCAATATTTACTGCAAGCTCTTGCCCAAAAGGGACATAACATCTCCAAACATAAAACAATTAACAGGCTTCAAGTGCTAGCACATGATATCCTCCCTGAAGTAAAGACTTTATTCCTAAAAAAAATTAACACCATTATCAATTTCCCTCTCCCAAACACC